GACCAGGATGGACAGGATTAGGAATGAGCACATCAGAGGGACAGCTCAAGTTGGCTGTTTTGGGGACAAGGTCAGAGAGGCCAGACTGAGATGGTTTGGACATGTGCAGAGGAGGGATAGTGGTTATATTGGTAGAAGGATGTTGGCGATAGAGCTGCCAGGCAAGAGGTCAAGAGAAGGCCAAAGAGGAGATATATGGATATGCTAAAAGAGGACATGAAGTTAATTGGGGTGAGAGTAGAGGATGCCGAGGATAGAGTTAGGTGGAAACAGATGATTTGCTGTGGCGACCCCTAACGGGAACAGCTGAAAGAAGAAGAAGAAGAAGTGTGCATTTATGAAGAACTGTAAGGACACACTGTCAGTCTGCATGGGGCATTTATTTAGCCATTGGTAGCATTTACTGTTTGCTCATGTCAGTGTACTATGTAAAGCTAGTCTGTTCACAGTGCAGTTTGTGTGACTAAGGCTAGCTGACATGCTACAACCCTGGGGGTATTTCAGAAATCAGGTTAAGTTTGTTCAAAGTGAAATGAAGGAACATCCAGCTTTTCAGTTCCAGGCACAGAGACTGAGTCTATGTAGCGATAGCTGGGCAAGAGCCTGATGGCAGAGATTTTGAGCCAGACTCAAAATTGTTAATATTTTCATCTGTAGGGCTGGTATTATGCCATTTTATTTATTATATAAGTTTTGACATTTTTTCAGGTAACACAGTAACCTCTTAGATTAAGAATATATCGTCAGTTTATCCAATTAATGCCAATTTAGAAATTTGTTCTGACATTGTCCAAGATGTGAGTGCTCGTTATCTGACCGAGATATTAGCAACCAGCTACATCTTGTTCAGAGCACAGTAGTCTGCCGGTGAGGACGCTGCTGTTCCAACTGCATAATAGCTGTTTCCATTGTTGGAACCTAACAATTGGTACACCCCATGCTTTCCTTAACCTTCACCCAACATAACCTCACAGGTTGACCCAGATGTTTAACTTTGGTTTTCCTCTGTGTTTTCCTTGTGTCGGTCACTGTTTAAAGAAGGGAGGGGCTGCACACCTAACATACTCACAGCTGAGCAGATGTAAGGGATCACTATATAGTGCAACAATCAACCAGTAACAGAGACTGTCTAAGCAGTTTATTCAGCAGCTGTTGAACAAGCAGAACATAGACTTGCAGAAATGTGACGTCTTCAATGCTTTGCCTGTGGTTCACTCACCGAAGTCCCTGATTTACCCCTAAAGCAATGAGTGGATGTCTGTCATTTTTCTTAAATAACTTTCAAACTAATAATGATATCAGCATCATTTAAAATGCCAGCAGCAGGTTTTCATGGTCAAGCTATCATATTATGAGGACCACATTATTATGGGAATATTGCTGAGAGTTGCCCCTTGGCAAGGCCCCTTGCCTTGAGAGGAGGCTGTTTTTATACAGAATGCATGTACCCTATTCCATATTATCAAGTAATTTTATCTCATACTAAGTGTAAAAACATTTGTCTCATTCATGCTTCACAATGCCTAATTTGCTAAGTTGTTTGCTGTGTTATTAGTAGAGCATTTTTTTCTCATCTTTTCAGACAATTGAGGGGAGGAGCTCTGTATATTTGGGGGATGCTGAGTGTGTTAATAGAATCTTTGAGAGTATTTTAATTTAAGATTAAAGGAATGATTATGAAAATAAATGACACTATACAGCATGAGCAACAAGTATTTTGTAGCATGCAGTGTGAATGTGTGTGCATACATAGGTTTGCCTTGTTTGAGGTCAGGTCATTCTTTTTCTCTGTAGACACTCCAGACCCACCCATGGATTTGGATCTATCAGACCCAACAGCCCGTAGTGTTCGCCTCACTTGGATTCCCGGAAATGACCACAGAAGCCCAGTCACAGGTCAGTATTCACACATTCAATTAAGAACACATGGCATGCTCATTTTGCTCATTTCCAGCCATTTAATGTTTAATCTTGGGTACCTCTAGATTAGGGTTAGGGTTAAAACACTGATAAATAAGATAGGTTTTCGACAATGACAATAATTCAAATCCTACCTGACATGTTCATGCCAGAATTATCAGGTCCACTCGGCGCTACCTGCCTCTCTTCCCCTTTTCTCCCCTGCTCTCTCATCCCGCGGGCTCAGCGATACAGCTGAGATGCATTCACTTGCTAATTGACTCCCGGGCGTGCTGCACAGCTGACGCTCATCCCCATTTGATTAACCATCGCTATTTAAAACGCTGGCAGACGCTCCTTTGTTGCTGGAGCATTGACGTGGATGATGTTATGTGGACGAGGTTATGTTGAGGACGTAACCACAGACTGTGTGAACGGCAACAATTATGGTGAGCTCTAAATTGTTTTATGTTAGATGCGGCCACACAGTTGGCAATCTTCCCCTGCCGTGATCACCTCCAGTGAGTTTATCTGCTGTGGCTATCTGACAGCGAGCGCTATAGCAAGTACTACACCAGCCCTGTCTTCTGGTTCCTGAGTCCCTCCTGTCATCTCATCTGCCGCTGTTCATCTGTCTACTCACCTGCCCATCCTGGTCAATCTGACTCTCCTGGTTCCTCCAGATTATCTGTCTACTCACCTGACCGTCCTGGTCCTCTGACTCTCCTGGTTCCTACAGTTCACTCATTTACTCACCTGCCTGTCTTGGTCTTCTCAGCCTCCACAGCTCAACCCTGGTTTGACCACCCATTGACTTTGTCCACTTCTCTGTAAATTTATTGCAATAAAGACATGTATTTATTAGCACCTGAGCCTGCACCTTGAGTCCTCCTTTTCTCTCTCTCTCACCTCCTGGTGAGGGACACCCCACCGTAACAAGAATATGAAAGTGGACAGCAGACAAACTGCAACAGCATTAATTAACTTGAATTTCTCCTCCATAGATTGGTAAACAATGGTGTATGTACTGATGAAAAGAGATGTGTAACACTCAAAGTGGGTAATTGAGAAATGATGCAGACACAGTAACTTCTCCAGCCTTACAACAATTCTCCCTAACATTACAGAAACAATGCATTAACAGACACGCAACATTTATTTTTTTTTTTTTAACTTACTGTTAAGTCCCACCAAGTAGTGGAAACATCACTGCCTTTCAAGTAGCTCCAAGGTTGGTAAATCCAACCGGTGGTTGCTGCGTCTTTCCCCACACAAACGCATACAGTCCCAAAGTAGTGAAACTAAATCCAACAGGTAGCGTAGCACCAACAATAACATCATGGATCATTAATCTGCTTGATAACTCACAACACATCACATGAGGCAGACACACTGGCTTCAAGCAGTCAAAACAAACAGCTACTGTGCTCTGGGGGAATCCAGCATTGATGAGCTCATCACTAACTGCAGCAGGGGCTTCACTGACTGGCTGCTGGTAGGCTAGACCCAGTCAGGAAAAACAGCAAGTCCCTGTACAGGAACATTCCCGGAAGTGCAGTAACCTAAGGCCCTGTAATTTTCTCCACACCCTCTGGTCACAGTGCAGCAGCAGGAGGAAAAATATATCCACAAAACCAGGCACAGTCGAAATATTCCACTTTTACAATGGCACTGGTGGATCACAGGCAAGCTCATATGAACACGCAACTGCCTGGACATTTCAACCATTCAAGGAAATTGTTAAACTATCATGTAGTACTTTATTTTGTTAGAAAAAAGTCTCGCCGGCGAGAGTTTGTGAGACTTGTATAAACCAATTTGCTTCTGCATAGAAGTACTTGAACATACTGTATGTACACCTGATTTTTTTTAGCTTTGGGGCAAGTTTAAATTGATAATTCATCGCTGTAGATAAATGTAGATAGATAAATCAGAAAACAAGGAAAAGCATGCCATGGGCTCTTTAATTACCCTTTATTACCACATTTTTCTACACATTTCTTGTATCACACCTAGATATCCTAGAAAACCTGCTGAGTCCCATCAAAGACCTCAAGATTTCCCCCAGGATTTCCACTATTTCAACAGTGTTTGGCCCATCTTGTTTTAAGCTTTTTTGTCTCTATAGAGTTCTTGGTCCAGTTTGAGGAGGATCACTGGGAGCCAGGCAGGTGGCGGAACCTGTCCACTTACCCTGGCCACCTTAACTCTGTCATCCTGCAGCTTGCCCCCTTTGTCAACTACCAGTTTAGGGTCATCGCCATTAACTCAGTGGGCCAGAGTCAGCCCAGCCGCCCCTCACCGCGATATAAGACCAGTGGAGCTGGTGAGAGTCACCTTATGTTCTGATATGTGCTCTGAAATTATATTTGTTTAAAGACTGATCAGAGGGGACAGCTGATTATTTTTCCATCTTTTAGTTGACTAAATATAAAGTATTTTACCCATCTTCCTATCAGGTGCAACATCTGACGTGCTTTACATGAAAAATATGATGTTTTAATAAGAGCTAAGTACAATTAATGAATAAATTAACTATTTAAAAACTGAATCTCAATTTGTCAGAATAGGCATGACTTTTATAAAGTGGTGGATGTTAATTAACATTAATTTTTGAATAAAACTGTACTCCTACATATTCTGAAATACAGAATACAGATTCTAGAAGCCGCAAGCCAGAAAGTCTAAGGATATAAATATGAACTTGCCAACATGGAGTTTTTTGGAGTTGATGTTTGATCCAAGTGCATTTTGTCATGTTAAAACAAGCTCCAGATGCCATTCCTAGAGGTCTGCGAGGATGGGGCTCCAAGAAGGACAATATGGAGATCACTTGGGAAGTAAGACCTACATCTTGAAAATGTAAAAAACACAAAAAAGCTTGGCAGTGTACTGAGAATATGTATAAATATTTTTTTTGTTATAATTTAGAAAAGGCACACAAAACAAGCCAAAAAGAGCATGAGAAATGTTCTAAAATTACATCAACTTGACAAAATTAAAGAGTTTATTTAAAAAAAAATTCTGTGGCCCCACTTTGCTTGTACACTGGGATGACATCACTCATAAACAGAAATAGCTGTTCAACCTCAATGAAAGATTTAAAAACATTACATTTTCAAGATCATTACTCTTTGTACATTGCTGATTGTTCAAAGAGAAGTTTACCATCTGGTCATCATTTAAGGTCTGCAGTCAGCAATTTTATAAATGTGTAAAGGTGTTCTGTCACTAAAGTACTCAAAGGACCACAGCGAAACTACTACTTTTGGTCAGTGGGAAATAACTAGCCGCAAAGCTGACTATGCCATATGGTTTTCACTTCCATGGTAGATAAAAAGAGTTAAACTATGAGTTCCTAGTTAAGATTCTGGGACTTACTGAAACAGTTCCTTTATACACTCTAGAGTAGGCCTTTAAACAATGATCAATCCTTGAGTAAAACTATCCTTAAAATGTCCTGTATAAATCAATAACACATACCTTATGCTACTTCATCTATGTATAAATAAACAGACAACTTTATTTTTTAAACTCTACTTCTGATGTGGCTGCAAAAAGGACACATTCATCACATTCATTGTTACTGTATGCCTGAAAGGCAGTTGCTTTTAAAGCAATGCATGTAGTATAGTATCAAAACTAGTTAAAACAAGACCCCAAACTTTGCCTACGTAGTAATATTTTAAATCATAGGAAAGACCCAGAAAGCATCAGCACTAATGCATTAGGTAAACTGGGATGTATATTGCAAAAAGTAATAATTCAGTACCACTAAAAGAAATGAGACTTCTTGAACACTGAAAATTGCCCAAATAGTTGCACCAGGATGGGCATTTGGCTTAAAAACCCTGTCAAATTGAATATGTGGATCAAGTAAAGCAAGTAAAGGTCAACAACAAAAACAAAAAGAACAGAAATTGCGGTACTGATCAAGAAATAATAAAAAATCATTAAGATCATTTACTAATGACATGAAATACATTCCTCCCAGCCAAATTGAGTTTAAATTTATGGTAAAATTATGTTGTTTAATTTCCCATGTTTAATTTCACCGGTATTTCCCAAGTGTAACATGTTATAGTTTTTTGATAGCAGTACCTCAGCATCTGGAATCAACACAAGGTTTGTGTTTTTGTGTCGTCTAGCCTCTACTTAATTTGGCAAGAAATGGCCCAAACCTACAGTACATTGTGTGGTGGAGACAGAAGGATATGGGGGAAGACTGGAGTAACGTGACCACGGAGGGGTCCAAACATGTCATCCACAACACAGAAACCTATGTGCCTTACGAGATCAAAATCCAGGCCAGGAATGAATTTGGACCAGGACCTGAGTCTAATGTGGTCATTGGATATTCCGGAGAGGATGGTAAATAGATGCACACTAGAGATGATATTTTTAAAAGACAGCAGCTGTGTTGATTATGGATGAAGACTGGGAGATATTTTCTTTCTTTTTAGGTACAATTTCCACAACTAGACTTAAAAAAAACTTTAAACTATTATTACTGTACAGTAATTACTGCAAACGACTAGAGCCACCACTGAAGGAAACTTGACATTCCAGCACAAACAAAGCCAAACCTTTTTAACTTTTCACACATACATTGTCCCTTTTTGTGTCACTTTTGGTTCATTCAGAGCCCACTGCTGAGCCCACTGACTTGCGGGTGTCAAAGGTTGACAGCAGTAAAGTGAACATCCACTGGAAGCCTGTGGATCCAAACTCTGTTTTAGGAGAGTTCAAGGAGTACAGGGTGAGTCGGGTTCCATTTTTCTAATGAGAACCGACTGCAGAGTTGGTCTAAAATTAGACTGGATTATAGTGTTTCTGACAAGTTCTTTCCTTTGATCTCCTTATCCTCTCTACTCCTTACCAATTTGCCCCTTTCTTCTCTTGCTCCCTTCCAGTTGTACTACTGGCGTGAGTCCAGTTTGGTCCCAAATCTAGTAGTAAGCAAAGAGAAGAAGATCAAAGGTTTCTACAGCACCATGCCTGAGCCATCTGGCATCCTCAGCGGCCTGGTGCCCTTCTCTAAATACAAGATGTTTATGGTTGTGGCCAACAGTCGCTTTGAAGGTCCACCAAGCAACACAGTGGAATTCACCACCAAGGAGGGAGGTGAGGAAGCCATCTGCTCAAAAAAATTTCACCATGTCATTGTTATATAACATATTATAGTTACATGCTATTTTTTTAAACTATGTTCATAATACAGTTTTTAGTGTTTGGGTCCATCTGGTGCTGCAATCCAGGTCAGTCAACTGGCACAATCACTTGTCAAAAAAAAGGCCTTTCTGTTTTCATTTCTTTGGGGGTCATTGTAGGTCATAATAATAGTAATTGTGTAACACCATATACTGTAATAAGGTGAAACCATGAAATTTTCTGAGACGTTATAATATTGTGAAAATCGTATACCGTTGCAACCCTAATGTCATGTTGATTCTGAGCCACTAAAGGGACATTTTAATTCCAGTATGTGGAACTGACTGACTGGAACTGCCTGCTGCAGTCTTATTATATATAATTTTAAAACATGTTTTTAATAATCACCAGAGCATGCTTTAGATGTAAAATCTGCTTTAGAAACAGTAACATCTCTAATGTCAAAGGACTGACTTTGGATTTTGAGAGATACGGTATATTGGCAAAACTGAAATGGATGTCTGTGGAACTAGAGATTTTTTTGGTGGAAGCCTCTAATGGCCATTATTGGTACCGCATTATATTGTTTCTTCTCTTCCCTTAACAGTATTTTTATTTGTGTGTTTGTATGTGTGTAGTTCCTGATGCACCAGGGTTCTTCAGTATCAACCGGAGGAGTTTGGACACCATCTACTTGGAATGGGACAAACCTCTGGAGCCAAATGGCATTCTGATTGGATACCAGCTCAAATATCAAACAGGTGCTGCTCTGATTTCTCAAAACCCATGTAGTTTTGAGATTCAAACTAAATTACTTCAGACAAATCCATTCCAATTACAATGATAATTTAATATTATAATAATTCAAGGCAATTCAATAGTTTGAAAGATAGGGAATCAAATCACCACCTCTGGAAAAGAATAAATACAGTGTTAAATAGGAAGACTGTCAGTCATTGTGGCCACAGGGTACCGCCAGTCCAGAATCCAAAATCAGGTTGGTCCCCTCCCGGCCAGATCTGCCTGTTTGTCTATCCTTCCAAACACACACACACTGACCAACTCTGCTCCTCACTTTATTCCCATCTCTCACTTCTTATCATTGTTTCCCCAATTGCATCAACCCTTAAACTTTCCTTTTTAGGAGATGTTAGATGCTTTAAAGAACCGTGAGTCAAGCTATTTGTTGAGAGCAGCACATGCACTTCTGGAAGCACACAAGGTCAATGCCTTGGCAGCTGTTACGCAACCACTTTCTTTGACTCACACTATATCCCATTCTAATGTGTTTTCCTTCACATTACATATTATACATTGTTTGTTTCTAACCACTACACCCAAATATTCACAATATGCTGCATACACAAAATTGTAAACCTTTAAACATAAAGTTAACTAGTTGGTATGCAGTGTTCATGACCCCCTTAGGAATTTTTTAGTTTAAATTGTATTTTCACCAAAGAAATTAAGGAAAATTATAAATTCTTCCTGTTTTCTTAGGTGTAGGGCCTTCTTCATTTTCATTACAGACATCTGAAGGTGAGGTTGCACATGGCTTTTCCAATCCATTTTAAACCTGAATGTAGTGCTGTTCCAAATTTAACAAATCAGTATATATACTAGTATATTTAGCAGGTTTGATATGAATTGAGTTTACGGTATGTACCGACACCAGGAATTAGCCATATGTTGCACGCAAGTCTGACACTGACAAAGGCTTTCACATTCTCTTGTCTACTCACCTTTTATATGATGCCAACCTACTTACCAGCTAAATAAATTAAAGCATTTCAACCATAAATTGTGTTAAAAATAGACTTGAATACTGTGGCTTTAAGCAGTGCAGCAAGAGAGGTGAGGCTTACCGTAAATGTATATACTGCTGCAGCTCAGACCACTCAGTACATCAGTATCAGTACAACTATTACATTTTGGTCAGTCATTCAGACTCTTTTTAGAAAAAGCCCAAACTTTATTTCAACCAAATAGTATACCTTAGGAGCTGTCCAGGGTGTACCCTGCCTTTCGCCCGATGCTGGCTGGGATTGGCTCCAGCCCCCCCGCGACCTTATTCGGGACTAAGTGGTATAGAAAATGAGAGAGAAAGACTATACGTCAGGATAGCCTCCTATGTTCACAACTTACATAATCAAAAAATTATAAAAGTAAATAACTGAACAAAAATGCCAGGGGGTATTATTACAACAAAACAACCAGAAAACAAGACGGATAAATAAAATAAATAAGGAAACAATTATGCAAATGATGCAAACTTGCTCTACACAATGTTCACCATTACATTCATACCTACACACTGACATACAATCAGTGGATTTTTAAAAATGTATACGACCTGTTATATTGTAAAATTAAACATGATCAGATACTATTGCACAACTTAGGCTATAAATGTCATGGTGACCTGCAGCATATTCACTGGGATAGATATGAAAATAAACCATTCTATGATGCTGTAAAGGATCAGCTAAATAAAGCCGATACCAATGGCAGGATAAAAAATGCTTTACTGTAACATGGCCATAGAGGCACATGTACTGGATACTAAAAACTCTAAAGGTTCAGTTCATGTTGCCTAGTACCCCATATGTATGCTTAGTAATCATAAGAGTCAAACTTTTTGGCACTAAATGAATGCCCTCAAAACAGCTTTGGTAGTCAGCCACTGCACTGGTAAAGTACTGAACGTGTGCACAGCTGCAGTATGCATAGTAGGTCAAAAGCTCTACATTATCTAATAGACTTTAGTAAATATTTGGGCAATAGCTAGAAGTTTGTCAGCTAGGGTGCCAAACTGCCACATGACAGGATTTGGGAATATTTCTAATTGCAAGCTAACTCATCTGCCCTTTTCTCTCATTGTTCTGTAAACATATATGTGTGCAGTCAATGGCTCCAGGGAGGGTCCACTCCAGATACAGACTTTTCTTCCTAATGTGACAGACTTCACTTTCCAACTGCCAGACCGATCTAGCCGCTACAAGTTCTACCTGTCAGCACTCACAGAGGTGGGAGCAGGGGAGGTCTGTGCTGAGGAGTCCCCACACTTCGCCAACGAGGGTGAGTGTTTCTACAGTTCAACGTTTCTTTGCCAAAAAATCATATGAGAATGTAGTGTTTCAATAAAATTACACATATTATGTAATTAATCTGAAAACAATGATACTGTATCATATATTAAAATGTAAAATCTAATATAATCACAAGTTCGCATTAAAATCAATTCAAGGTTTCCCACAGACAACAAGTAATCAACATCCAATAAGCTGCGTAATAACCATTTTAGAGGTCACTATTTTTGCAATTACAAGTTTTACATATAAATGGGCAGACTGCAACTTTTTTAGCCATTAAGAAGTTATGAAAAAGTAAACTTTGAATTTAGTCTTACTTCAGTCAATCCTTGCACTGCCTGACAATTGTTTAACCCTTAAGCTGTATATTATTGCCCACAAATTTTCATATATGTTTTAGCTATTAATTTTGAAATAAAGGATAAGGCAACATTTTATGGTAATAATATATAGTGTAATATATATATATTTTTAAAAATGGGTTTGTAATGTTTTTATTGTCAAAAAAATCCCATGAAAAACCCAAGCTACTGATGATTGTTTCCTTCTAAGAATATTGTATATCATAGCCGGACATATCTTATTCCTCTGTGCCAGTGAGCTCAGTCCTCCATACTCATACATGCATGTTTGTTAAAAAACTACGGTGGTCAACAGTTTCAAGAAATGACTGAAGTTTTTCTTTCTTTCTTTTTTTAATGCAACTATGCATAAAATTTGTGAGACATTCTTAAAGACTTACAGCTTCAGTACAAACCATTGGTCTTTGGATTGAGTGCCACAGACAAGGTAGAGAATTAAAAACACAGTGGCAATAAGGATAATATAAAATGAATATTGGTCTTATCTTTGAACACATTTCACTACAGTAATCACCTTACAAAGATGACATTTGCCGGAAATGGCAAACTGAACTGGTAGGAGAAAGGTTTTAGTATAGCGGGTTAATTTCTGACCAAGTTTATCATCGGAGTAACTAAAATGTTTATCTTACTCACATTGTGTCAAGCACTGTTTCCCAGTAAGGCATAAGACCTTCACTTTACTTTGCTGTATTTTAATGTATAATGACAGCATTTTCTTCCATTTTCTATACATGAGAATTGAGTTTACTCCATAGTGTGCCATTGCTGTGAATTAGTGTATGATGTTTTATATGTTTGTGGGCACAGAAAAACCGGAGCTTTTGTGGAGACTGGCCTCACTGTGGGTCCTTACAACGTATTTCGTCAAATTTTATGAAAATGACGCAGTGTAAACTTAGAGTGGCTTTGGTTAAGGATAGATTAATCCAGGAAGTTAATATAAGTCTATGTAGGGATTCCAGTAAGTGACAAAAACAAGTGTGCGTCTGTGTGTGCGTGCGTGCATGTGTTCTGATAACAAAAAAGGTTTCAGGCCTATTAACTTGCTATGAGTCCTAGACAATTTAATGTATTGACCAGGTTCTCTCTCTGAGCCTTTGATCCTTTAACTAAAATCTTGCTTTTCTAGCTTTATCCTATTTGAGCTGTAAAAGGTTCAGTGATATCTAAAATGCTCTAAAAGTGCATCAGTTGGCCCAGTGTTCCTGTGACTCTGGACAAACAGTTTTCATTAAGACTAACTATTTAGTAGGCTTAGTTCCATTGAAAAGTTTAGAAAGAGACTGATACTGTATCTCAAAACAAATCAAAATATTATATTAATATTTAATGGGTAGATACCATACATGGTAAGTGAGAGAATGTGTTGAACTGACCTTTCGGTCATTCTGGAGTGGAGTCTCTCTCTCCCTTACACCTCTTTTCTCTTTCCTGTCTCTCTTGTCTTTTTCATTGGCAGAAAACTTTACTGATGCAACAGGTCTAGGTAATGGGGAACAAGCATAGCGTGCCTGCCTGTCACCCTTCCCCATCCTCATCCTCCATGTTTGGCTCTATAGTTGTCTACACTCACTGGCCACGTTATTAGGTACACCGGCAATCGGGCGAAGGCAGGGTACACCCTGGACAGGTTGCCAATCCATCACAGGGCTAACCCATAGACGAACAACCACCCACACGCACATGCACTCCTATGGGCAATTGAGAGACACCAATAAACCTAAGCTGCATGTCTTTGGACTGTGGGAGGAACCTCGGAGAGAACCCACGCAAGCACGGGGAGAACATGCAAACTCCACACAGAAAGGTCCCGGGTGGGGCCCAAACCCGGAACCTTCTTGCTGTGAGGCAACAGTGCTAACCACAATAATAAACACAGAATTGAATTTATACATTTATGACAACACAGATGTTGAGGAAGTGTTGCACTGAATTGTATGCAGTTGTACCGGTGTACCTAACAAAGTGGTTGGTAAGTGTATACCAACCAGTATATCCTTGTGCAGAACGTCCAGCTCTTATTTTTAAGAAGACATTCATTTGCCTCATATTCTTGTATTTTACAGTATGTTTACAAAGTTATACACTATGAGTAGTTGTATATGTAAACATATTGCTGCCTATGTGTTACACCACAGGAAGTTATTCTATGACTGGATATTTAATATATTCAAGCAGGTTAGCAGAGTGTAGGCCAGGGGTCGACATCCTTCACAATCTGAAGAGGCATTCTGGGCCAGAAAAAAATTCTGCCTGTAGCCACAAAAACTATTTGAGCCCTTTACAGTTGCAAGACTAAGTAATGGCACTATTTGCAATTTTTTTGCTTTTCTGCATAAATTGGTAATGAAATGTGATCTGATCTTCACCAATGTCACAAATATCAACAAACACAATAAGATGATAAAACACAGTCAGGATCTTTCATGTCTTTATTGAACACACCCAATAAACATACAAAGCGATGGTGGAAAAAGTAATGGCAGCAGGGTTTTAATAACTGCACATTGTTCAGGGGTATTTCTGGATCATTCTTCCTGTCAGCTCACCCATATTCTTAGGATGTCTGGTGTGCACAGCTCTTTTGAGTTCATTCCACAGTATCTCTATTGGATTGAGGTCTGCGCTCTGACTGGGCCACTCCAAAAGGTGTGTTTTGTGTCTTCAAAGCCATTCTGTAGTAGGTTTACTTCGATGTTTAGGGGCATTGTCCTGCTGTGTCACCCAGCTTGTTCTAAGCTTCAGCTTGCAGGCAGCCACCCTGACATTATCCTGTAGGATACCTTGATAAACCTGGGAATTCGTTTTCCCCTCCACAATGGCAAGCAGTCCAGGTCCAGAGGCAGCAAAACAGCCCCACATCATGATGCTCCCTCCACTGTACTTCACTGTTGGGATATTTTCATGTTGGTATGCAGTTCTCTTTTTACGCCAGATGCAGTGCTGTGTGTTCTACCTTCGTTTCATCCATCCACAGGACATTTTCCCATTAGTGTTGTGGAGTGTCAAGGTGGTCTTTGGCAAACTTCAGGCCTGCTGCAATGGCTTCCTCTGTGGTGTCCTGCCATTGATACCATGCCTGTTCAATATTGTGCGTATGGTTGACTCATGAACAGAGATGTTAACCAACTCCAATGAATTCTTCAAGTCTTCAGTTGTCACTCAAGGGGTCTTCTTTTTACCTCACTGAGTTCTGTGTTGTGCCTCTGGAGTCATCTTGGCTGGGCGCCCACTTCTTCCCCCAGCCCATCACTCTGATGAACACTTAACCAACGACAGTATGACTGGACAGTAACCCTCAGTACAATACCTGTAAATATACCTCATACAGATTCATACAGGTCTCTATTTTTAAGTACTCTATTTTTATTCCTATTTATCTCATTTCAGGGAGCATTCCTTTGTCTGTCTGCATTGTTTACTGCCTGTTTATACAGCTTATTTTGCATTGTTTGCACTGTTTGTTGCTGTTAATACTGCTTATTTTGTTATATTACACAGCCTTATGCTGGTTCACTGTTTAGCCATCCCTGGTAGGCTAGTGGTTAAGGCGCAGTGCTCTCACTGCCGCAGCCCAGGTTTGAGTCAGGGAAGGGCATCTGGCATAAAACACGTGCCAAATGTCAACATGTGAGTCATACTTGCCCCTTGCATGGGGATATGTACATACACTTTGAGAGCCGATGTACCAGAGTCAAATTCCTCATGTGTCCGACACGCCTGGCCAATAAAGCTGATTCTGATTCTATGGAGATGAGCCACAGTACCAAATCATCTCCATTTATAGACAGCATGTCTAACTGTGGACTGATGACTATCTAGGACTATCTAGTCTTTGAGATGGCTCTGTGATGCTTTCCAGCTACATGGAAATCAGCAACTCTTGATCATCTTCTTAGATCTCTCTTTTTGCAAGGCCTGGCTCACATCAGCTGATGCTGCCTATGAATAGCATACTGACAGTGTTTGAGTGTTTTTATAAGTCTAGGTAGTTGTAAACCACACCTCCATTCTCGTTTCATTGATTGTGTAGCGTATCTGTCTGTTTGGCAGGATAAAACAATTACCTCAGAGCACCAGTTCTCTTGACAGTGGAATGACAGAAACTAATTTAATAATTTGTTAGTAGGAATTCATTATTCATAATTTATAACCCAAATTATCAACCAAAATATTAACCTTAATTCTGAAGAATGATTTATTGGAAAAAACTGTGACCTTGGTTTTACAATTAGAAGGAAATGAGGGAGAATAGAACTGAATTTTATGAAAATACTAGAAATAAAACAAATAAGCAAAAATTTATCAGGTGGTTTCTGAATGCAATGGACTGACAAGTAAATGATAAAAAAAAACCACAAACTAACTTGACTGGAGTAATATCAGTTAGTTTTGATGAATTTGACTGGATAGAATTATCTTAGTGATTATGGTGAGATGGGAATTATGGATTCTTAATAACGAGGAGAGCTGGGAGAAAACCTATCAAATTATCACAACAAAAAAGGGGAGAAGGATTATGAAAATTGATTAATGGGACTCTTACATGAATCAGGGCTAAACAACACCAGCATGGTTTATAAGAGAGAACTGGTCTTGCCTGTTTGGAGTCAGTCGGACCACAATTGGGGATGGATTGGGCCTGGGACGTTCATTTGGTTCATCTGCATTCCAGAGTCTTTACAGATGAGCACCCCAGTGAGTCCTCTTCATCGCTTTTGGACTGCCTGACAGGACTGTTGAGGTTCAAAGCTCGAAGTGGTTCGATTTGGAGGAGGTTTCCCAACCAGAAGCCCTGGATAAACAGTCAGGTACGCCACATGCTGCGCGCTCGCTGTCATGCATCCAGATCAGGCAATGAGACGGAGTACAAAGCCGCGAAGTACAGACTGAGGAAAGCCATCACAGCGACCAAGAGGCAGTACAGAGAGAAGCTTTAATGGCTGCTATTCTACTGCTGACTCCAGACAAATGTTGCAAGGCCTGCAGCACATCAAAGACTACAAGACCACCACCAGCATCATCAGCTCCACAGACAGCCTGCTGGATGACCTCATCACCTTCTACACCCGCTTTGAGACCTCCAGCTACAGCACAGAGAGGAAGCACGCACACACCTGGTGCACCCAACCCCCCACCTCCACTCCACTAACTGTCACCAGGCCAGGTACACAGAGTCCTGAGGAAGATCGACCCCTGCAAAGCAGCAGGACTGGATAACATCCCTGGGAGGGCTCTCAGGGCATGTGCCAGCGAGCTGGCTGATGTTCTCACCACTATCTTCAACCTCTCCCTCAGCCAGAGCATTGTTCCCACCTGCTTTAATACCACAACCATCGTCCCCCTTCCCAAGAAGAGCCCGGTCACCTGCCTGAACAACTACAGGCCAGTGGCACTCACCCCAATCATTATGTAGTGTTTTGAGAAAGTGATGCTAACCCACATCCAGAGCAGTATACCGGACACCCTGGATCCCCTGCAGTATGCCTACCGGCCCAATAGGACCACCTCCGA